AGAACTAAGTCTGAGTATGGGTCACCATACTTGGCCACATGTCACGTCACTTCATATTAGCACAATCAAACTGAGTATGCAGTAAGCAACTATAACCCTTTCTTAAGAAATATTTGATGAATGGTACAACAAAAAAATTAAAATGATCTTTTCAAACCTGGTGTTATATATATATATATATAATATATATATATATATATATAATATATTGTGGAACAATCTTTTTTTTGTCCTTAAAAGAACAGTTCACGGTGTCTGTCATGCTTCAAAATGGACGAAAACATTAGTTATGGATGATGAAACATTCAAATAAGGTTTCATTTGTGGAGTTTGGACATCAATAGTATAAAATGTCACTGGTTCTTGATTGTCTTATGACCAAATATCATAATGTCAAACCTGCTGCAAGTAAATTATGCCAGATTTCATTGTTAATTGGTTGACTGTTTGCATTTACTGAATTTTCTTTTTGCCCTCTTCTGTACAGGTGATGCAAGTCGTGAACGCAGATGCCATTGTGGTGAAGCTGAACTCTGGGGAGCATAAGACCATCCACCTGTCCAGCATCAGGCCCCCGAGGCTTGAAGGCGAGGTACAAGTTAATGCATGTCTGTCCTTGGATACCCCTGTCACTAAGGCCATTACTGAATCCACAGGGTGCCGGCTGTCTGTTACACTGTTTGCAAAGTGCTGATGTGAAGGTTTTCTCTCCCCTCCATCTCTTAAAAGCGCTGATCTCCTCCCTTCATGCATCTTTCACACTCAGATCTCAGATCGGTGTCTTTACTGGACACCAGGGGGAGCTAGAGACAGAAGCCCATCGGCCCTCCTCCCCTCCACTCTCTCTGACACACCAGTGCTGCACTGCAGCCAAAAGCCCTATAGATCTACTCCCGTAATGAGCACACGTTCTCGCTGAATCTCTCTTCCTTATCTATTAATGTCATGTGTCCACTCAATCCAATACAATTTTCAGATGTATTTCCTACTGAAAATAAAAATGTTCACTTTTGATTTGCTAGATGTTAACAGATTAATATGTAAGCATCATTTTGTGGGGCTGTGTATGTGCACACACATTTTTGCAGTTTTCAAATGCTCAGAAATGTGCTTGTCCGTTCTTATTCATGCCCATTAAGGCTGTTAATGAGAGTTGATGTGTAATGGTGCTTTGTCTAGCAAAGTGTGTGTGTATCTGAAAGCTGTATGTTAAACTAAAAGCAGTTAAAATTGGAGTGTGAACGTCTCATTGAGATTAGCCACCCTCTTCCTGACCCCTGACCTCCTGTAATAAGACACAATGATTCAGCATGTTGGAAAAAAATTAACTTCTGTGTTGATTTTTGCAGATTAGACATGTAGTTTATTAAGGAGGGCTTTAAGTAACAGCAAACTGCAGTTGCATGCATGTTTTTGCAGGAAAATAGTTTTGTGTTCTTGCACTTTTGATAGATGCAGCAATATGTTCCAAATCTTTGATGAAGTTTGAGATTAGTTTTAAAGGAGGCTTTTCAGAGAGTCACAGTTTGTCATGCACATGTAAACAGAGAGCTGGAATGCAGAGCTGTGGGTCTGTATCTATGGATACCGGGCTGCAGTGAGCATTCGGATCACAGCGTGTTTCTATCCTGGCAGCTTAAAGATGGCTTTAATCAGGTCAGAGATGATTACAAAACAATAAAGATTACGGATGTATTTAGATCTCAAACGTGCTTCGGAGGCATGAGACGAACCAGAGAGCTTTTAAAAAATGGGTTTCTTTTGTTTTTTTTTTTTGTATTTTGACTAGTTGATTTTTCTCGAAAGATAAATCTGAAAGCTTGATTTTGACAAAGAGACAGGAAACTGATCTTTTGGAATCTTCGAATGTCATTTCCTCACCTTCCTGTTGTTCCGAACCTCTGTCAATAAAAGATATTCTGCGAAATGTCTGTTTTTGTCCATACAGTCAAGGCCAATGTTAACCAAAACTGTTTGGTTGCCAACATTTTTCAAAATACCATCTTTTTTTTCTGAGGGTAATTCGTTTTGGGGGCTTATAAGAACATAAAGGTGAGTAAATTGACAGCATTTTCATTTTTGGGTGAACCATCCCATTAAAGCTACTCCCAACCAATAACTGCATAACAATGACCTGGCATCCATCCACAACACTCTTGCATTGTGATGAGTTTGGCACAGCAAAGCACCTTTTATATTTTCCTCAGAAAACTGTAAATCCCATTTTATTACAGTCTTCGTGCTACAGAAGGTAGATCAGATGGCGGGGAGCTTGTGTATCAAGCAGCATGATGTAATTATCATAATACCTTGGTGACCATCCGGCAGTGTTTGGTTGCATGCATGTGTCTGACACCTATGGCAGCTGCCTCGCTCCACAGTCAATCGGTGACTTAACTACAGATTTTTAACAACTGGTTTCAGACCAGCTTTCACAATGCCATAACATCATATCTAATGATCTAAAACAAATTCATGTGTGCTACCATACGCAGCCGAGGATACATTTATGCTGCCTTTAAAAACCAACCAGATAAAGGCATCCTAGTAGAAAAGATTCGGATGTTGCCATCTACCTTTTATATGCTGCGACGGCAGCGTTTTTCCGGGCACAGGCATGTTGTAGAGGTATTACTGATGTGCTGTGGAGGTACTTCGTCTTTTGAAACCTGCACTACTTATCAGTTTTCTGACTGTGTCTTCTGTAGTGCATCTCTGCACCAGATGTTCTTGCAGTATGTTTTCCCTGCTCGGCTGCGCTCTTTGACAAGGGTGAGAGAGAGAGAGAGAAGTGTGCAAAGTTGTGCCTGTATTAACGCATTACAGTGATTGAGGTCAGGCTGCCCTTGAATGTGAGGTTTCATCAATAATGATGCTGTCATGGCAAATATGACCTCTGACCCTGTGCTTCTGTGGTCTGAATAAAAGTCAGCTGGGAGTCAGCTGAGTACCAAATAATTAAACATCATTAAACATCAAATAAGCATCATGTCTGTTCGCTCTCTTTGGTTCTAAGGGACCTGATGGAGATCAGGTTATGATTGTTTCTATTAAATTCTACAAACTCTTAATGTAGTATATTGAAGAATCGTCCTAAGTTTGAATGAAAAAAAGTTACATTCGTAACGCTCATGTTGTGTTTTATTCACTCCATTAAACACAATGACCCTTTGCAAATGTGTCGATAGTTATTCAAGAGCTGTTGCTCTGTAATCGAAAAGGGGAGGCTACCTATATTTTTACTCTTAATCTAATGTTACATTAACCTTGACATGATGCTACATAACTACAAGATCTCTGTTAATCTTTTCATCAAGCTAATCAATCCTGGCTAGCATATCTGCAGTAGTTTAGCACACGGCAACTTTTAAATTCGTATCGTAATTAATTTAAACTGTGAATATTCAAACAACAGCTGTACAATGGTTTCAGAACAGCTGCAAACATTTTTTTCAGTCACTTTTGATTGCGTTTTATCAAAATGGCTAATTAATGGTAATGGCTTTCTGTTTGTGCACATGCACATTGTGAGCACTCAAACATACGGAGACAAAATTAAGAGTTTAAAGGTTCACAACATGCCGGCATGCAGTTAATGATGTCACAATAAATGCACCCTTAATATTGAGGTCACATTGGCAAAATGTCATAAGCCATTAATGTGACCACACCTGTTGTTCATACTTAGTGTTGTAGATTTCTCTACATCATATCCTAACCAAATGTTATGAATCAGAAAAATGTGAATCCATTGATTTTTAACAGGGATGGTGCATCTCAAGGATGCACAGGACAAACGTAATGGTGACACTGTGAACTGTAATCAAAAGTCCATTTGTGTGATTAAAATGTCAGTTCACCGTATTACCGTTTGGTTTCAAAATTGCCCCTGCTCTTACACATTCTCATCCATCAAATACTCCATCAACACCTCCTCTAGTATGTAGGCACCTAATGGTCAATCAGAATATATTTAATGTGTAATATACAGTATACATGAGGCCACCCAGCCGATGCTACTTAAATAGAAACAAAGCGACTGACAAAATGTCCTGTTTCTTGCCGCTTGGTTAGGACAAATACTCACATTAACATGAAAGAGCTTTTATTGCTTGTTGCTTTATCACATCATGTCTGGTGTAGCAGTGTGACAGTTCCACCTTCTTTCTAGCCATCTGTTTCTCTCGCTCTTTCTCGTCCTGAATTTTCAACACTTTCTCTTTAGGTCAATACAGGGCGTGAAACCGTTATCCCTGCACCATGCCGTACAAACGCTTCAACTCAAAGAGACAAACCTGACCTCAGGCCAGCCCGGGGATCTGTGTGCGTTTGTCTGTACTGTTCTCTCTCTCTTGCTGTGAGGACTTTGGGGGGATTTAGGGCCAGATGTGTTGACCAACACTAAGATGAACTCTGACAGCTGCTGCCCAGTGTTTCTCTCTCTCTCGCTCTTGTTGCTTAATGCTGGGACCCCTGCTTTTTCATTCCTGTGGCTACTTAATTGCTTTATTATTATTATTTTTTTATCGACGGCATGGCAGTCGTATAGTCTCAGCTTGAGGGACCAGGTTTTTTTTTGTTTGGTTTTTTTTTTTTGCAAAAGAAAATGGGATAATTACCATGGTAAAAACCGTGGGTGGCAGAGCACTATGCAAGATATTAACCAATCAAAAATTGAGTGAGTTGAGATCAACTGGCTGCCAAATAGCCAAACAAATCACTGTGCTGACAAGCCTTGTTGCCATGCCACCATTTAGTCCATCAAGCATTACTGAACTGTTATTCTGGCAAATGACTATTGGATACTAGATATCCAGAGTGGTTATTTAGTCGAGTTTACGAAATCAGTCAGTAAAAAAAAAATGCAAGTATTGAAAGGAGGGAGGGCACCCACCAGTAGAAACATAAATGTGACCATGTCTACCCTCCCCCCAAAAAATAAAAAAATACGCCATTTGTTTAGTACACTGAACCAGTGGCATTTCAGCATTGTCATCACGCCATTTTTGATTGGGTGAACTATCCCTTTGAGAGACACGTGACTTCATGTGCCATGCCTAATTTCTTTTCCTCATTCATTCCCCCACCTCCCCCCCCCCCCCCCCCCCCTGTCACCGTCCTCACTCCCACTGTATGTGTGTGTGAGGGGACTGCAGGGGAAATGTTGACATCTGGGTTTAAAGCCAAAGACACCATACCCTTGTCTTCCCTGCAGAAATAGCAATATATAATGTATCGGTCATTGAATGACACTTCCGTGTCATTTGCTGTCACCTTGCTCAGTGTGTTTATGCTGTGTGTGTGTGTGTGTGTGTGTGTTTGAGTCCAAATGTAATTCGTCTGATGCCACATTGTGTCTTTTCAGAGTTTGTGTATCTGTTATGCCTGCTTGCTGAAGGCATGTGTTTGTGTGTGTGTGTCCTGTGGCCTCTGTCTGGGGTCACTGTATGGTTCCATGGCTCATCTCACACTTGGTTGGTCAGGCTTTTTCTTGCAGACGACTCTGCTTTGCCTCAGGATCGCTTGACTCTTGGAATTCTAGCGAACTTCCTTCCAATCATTTGAGAGTAATGACCCATGGATGTTGTAAAC